GCACATAACACTTACTACACTGTCATCTTTGGTTAATCTTGGAGAGGCGATGACACCAGGTTTTTTATTAAGCCAGCGGAGGATGGAAGGTGTTAGCTTTACACTTACATTACACCAACACTTGTATTGACCACAAGTGCTCGCCGTAATGCACAGCATGTAAAGTTTGGCCTGGTCAAATTAAATATCATTAACTCACCCAACTGAGATGATTACTTTAAAACAATTTGTACAGCTGTAAAATTAAGTTCAGTGTAATGTTTCCTCTGAAAAAAGGAAATGCTGATTATGGTTGGAGTTTTATTATTTGCTGCAAATTAAATGTTGCACATTTTACTGTGTGCATCGTAATTTTTTTTTGTACAACTAAATTCAACAAGCAATCAAAATGAAAGAATCTGAATTGCAGCAAGTGTAGTTTTTTCCAGAAATGTTCTAAGAATTAACTCTTGAGCAGGAAACTTTTCATGTGAGCTGCTTTCCACATCTTTGTGCTAAAACCTGGTAAAGTCATGCAAAGGATAGTTTCCCAGCTTATTCCCCAATATTGTAACGAAGCTGGGTTATGTACAGTTCAGTACAAGCCTGTCTTTTAGCTGAGTTTCCTTAGGACACTATTTCTGCAAGTCTGTGACTGGCATCCTCTTTGTGCTGTCGTATGTAATTGCTATATAAATAACCAAAACTTCGAAGTCAGGTTGGTATCATACAGGGAACAGGCGGTAGTTGGGGCCCTTTTTTTTTTTTAAGGGTTCTGCTAGAACCTGTCACCTTGTATTGCTGGATCCCTGCAAAATGATTTCTGCAAAGCATGGCAGCAGCCGCATCACCTTAGGCCAACAGTTCTCTGGGCAGCAGCTGTCCACACCACGAACGGTTTCAGGGTCAGCCTGTGGATCTCTTAAAAGAGACCGATTCCCCAGCTCAAACTGAGTGGAATCCTTTCAGCTCTGCAGGTTTCTGTTTCCATCAGCAGTCTTGGCCAACGTGGTGGCCTGCTGACCTATGAGATGTGTTCAGAACTGCACTAACAAAGTCAGAGTTAATGTGCTGCGCAGAGCTGTCACTGTTAACCCTTTAGATTCTGAATGTGGAATGCTGGAAGAACAGGCAGTGATGCAGGAAGATGCTTTAAAGTGATTTACAGCAGGGAAATTACACTGTCTGAATCTGGCCCCTTAAAAACCTGCGGTAGCTGCCACGTTATGTGGTAAATATCGGCAGTGAATTGTTTGTATTTACCTTTTTTTAGTGTTCCCCATCCCAGCACATCACTAATACCTTTTTCCATTGAAGGAACATGAGGATGGGAATGCTAAAATATTTGGATAATGAGAACTAGTAATTCTCAAGTCTGCTTATGTATAACAGAGCTAAATTTCTTTCTTTCTTTTTTTTTTTTTTTGTCTAGAAAAAGCAGCAGGTATTAGTATTTTATTTTTAGTAGCACAAAATTGATGCAGAATACACTGGGATTATCTCAGTCACCTGATTTTGGGTGTCTGTGTAGAATTAGTACTTGAGACCTTCCAAAACTTTAACAAATAGAAGATATTAAGATGTTTGGTTTATATCTGGAAAATTTGTCACAAGTGACAAACAACTACTACCAGTGCTTAAGAGCTAATAAATATATCCTAAATAGAACTTTCACTTTGTTAAAGAAAAAATGTGGCCCTATACGCACAGACTATATTCCTAATGCTGCTGAATTGTGCTCAGCAAAATTCTTCCTTATAAATAGTTACATCTGAAATAACACAGGAAAAAAAAATGCATGCATATGAATGCTGCAGAAGACTGCCAAAACCTACAAATATTCATAATTTCTTAAGAACCTTACATGCCATGTGACAGAGACAATGGGATCTTTCACAGCACAAAAGATGGATGAATTAACTTGTCTGAAATGTTGAAATGCTTAGCTTTTGGGCCTTCTTTGCATTGGAAATGTATTGAATCTGGAGAAAGCTGTAGTTAAACTGAACTGAATGGAACTTGATGAAATTTGTGGTGGAGCCAGATAGTAGGCTTTAACAACTGCATGAGATGGAGAGAAATACTCTGAATTCAGACCATACAGTAAATAAGGAAGGGATGCTTGATTTTTTTTTAATAAAAATTATGTAATGATTATGAAATAGAACAGTATTTATAGTATTGTAATTTATAGTATAGTAATTTATAGTATATAATCTATGTTACATTCTTTTGTATGAAAGTAGGCTGCAGAGAGCTCACTGTGTAAACTACATTGTAAAGGCAGCATGAAATCTATAGATAAACATGGCACAGTCTTGTCTGGGAGGTCAGGGTCTCCTAGAAGTTTTGTTTGAATACTTGGAATGAAAATAAAATAGTCACTTGAGCTTGATTTGGATGCTCACTGAAGTCACTGGGAGTTTTGCCTTTGCAATGCCTTAGTTCAGGCTTGGACTGAAACAGAGATGGGTCCAGCAGCAAAGCACGATATTATGACGCTGAGTGTGTCGTCAGCATTCAGTTGGCGTGGCCAAACTGCGTTAACGGACAGGGAAATGTTCTGCTGGTCAATCAAGGTGAAGCGTGACGTGTGCTTGTAATTGAGAAAAAGAGATGATGCAACAATGCATTCCATAACAATTTGACTGTGCACAAGTGTGTAAGGTATTGGATATACAACAACTTCTCCCTCTGTCAGAGCTGTGCGAGGCATTTGGCATCCCTCCTGTTGAAATCTCCCTCTTCCTCTATTAATTCCGGATATATGTCACACTGAAATACCTTTTGTGAAGACAGATTTTCTCATGTTGTTTTATACCATACACACATGCTTTTACTTTAACAATTACTCTACCCAGAGGTTTGGTAACCTCCAGCAATTCCAAAGCAACTACCACTGTTTAGATGCTAATTTCAGGCCGAATCTTCCTGAGGTCAAAACTGGCACATGGTCCAGAGGCTGGGAGCCCTCCAGCCTTCACGCTGCGAGGACAAGGCTGGACCTCCTGTGCACGGGAGTTTGTGGCCAAGACTGAGATGACAGAATTGTACTCTGTTACTAGAAAACACATTCTTATTTTTGTTTGAGGGATGAGGAAGATATTTTGGGAAGACAGTACACAGTTGTGCTATTACATAAATGTCATTTTATCAA